TTTCTTTTAAAGGGAAAGCTATTCTCAGATTCTGAATCCATACAAGCAAGAGCTGAAGCTGCTATGCTTCTAAAGCAGTTGGATTACCCGGTATCACATCTTCTTCTGTTAATCATATTATTTTTTAGCTGGTTCATATCTCACCATTCAAAGGGAAAAAAACTTAAATTATCATTTATGCGTGGCATTTTGCTGAAATGTATAATTGGAACTCTCTTTGTATTGCCTTTTGATGATAGATGTTGAATCTCAGATTTTCCTGCAGTTTAAAATATCTGGCAGTAATTTTTAAATCAGAGTGATTCGAATTTTCTCCATGATCATGCAAGTATTTTTCAAATTTTTGTGCATACAGTGAAACACATTGCCCATGTTTTGTCAGGTGGATAGCTTAAAGGCAAAACTACTTGAAAAGTTGGAACAATCTCTTGGGGATCTTCAACTTAAGACTGATGAATTAAACAATGTTTCAATGGATCCTAACGATCCATCCAAACTAGGAAAAGTTCTCGATTCTGACCCTGCAACCATTCATGAGGTACGTACAGACTAGGGAGCTTGTTCATATTTCTTAAGATTGAGCTGCATCTGGGATGTAAGGAACTGGGTTGGGAAAAAAGCATGCAGATATTAGGTGGGAATATGGTGCACATAACTTTGTTGATGTGTATTATTTTCTTGCTGGCAGTAACTCTATGTACTTTGTATTATTTTTTAGAGGAAAAATGAAACAATTAACCAGACACGGAGGGTTGCTGCCTTGTTAAAAAGTAGGAATTTATTGCTTAGTCATAATATCAGTAAGGTTCCAAGGTCCTCATCACAGTTGAGAGGATGACCCATAAACACAAAGCAGATGGTTTGAGAGACTGAAACCTAAATTTTTAAAGGCTCTTCTATTTCTCTCTTCCATAATAACTGACAAAGTAGCCAAGGTATATGAGAAATAAGTTTCTTTCTTCTATTACCCTAATGAAGGATAGATAGCAAAACTATCAAGTGATCAAAGATTTAACTTTTAGTTTCAGTTTGGTCTCATTCTCTATTTACTCCATAAATCTCTCATTGGTTTGCTTTGGTTATTTTTGCAGTTTTAAGTCACTATTATACTGATCTGTCTAGATATTTTGTTCAAGAAAATAATTAAATTGCTAAATTCAGGCCCTAATTTTTGGTGAGGGCTGGATTATGAAGTTCTGGTTGGTTCTGAGTTGATCCAGACCTGTGAAAGTCCCTAAACTTGATGGTAGTGTTTCGTACATGCTCAGTTTTGATGCTAAATGAATACTTCTGCGGTTCTTTCATGTCAGAGTATGTTAACCAGATCTTTTGTGGTATGATAGGACAAATTACATCTAGATATTCCGTGGTTTATATCAAATAGTTTTGATATTTGTAGTTTGAACTCAGTCAGGTAATACAACACTGTTGACTTCAACACGGGAACAATCAAATCTTAAGAAGCTTGAAACATGGATACCTCGTATTGTACTTTCTAAATGGAAAAACTAAATTAAACCTAAAACTTCAAAATATTCCAAAAATAAAAAAATAAAACTAAAGAATAAAATGTAGAATACAAGTTTTTGGGAAAAGTTTAGACTAGAGAGTTATACAACAAGTACTGAAACTGTTAAAAGTAAACAGAATATATTAAATATGAAAAACATAAACCAAAGAATATCAATCCGTACTTTGCCTTAAATATAACTAAAAGTGAGAATATAGGATTGCTATTTCAAGTCCTTTGAAGAAACTTCCTGTCTGGCATCAGCGAGTGGTTAAAGCTGCTGTTTGGATTCTGTACATATTTGTGTGCCCCTCGTCCTCGAACTGTATGGAATTGAGTTTGGTGGTGTTTTCTTCTGGCACACAGACCTTCAATATTCTTGCAGTGCCTGTACATACTCATTTTCATGGTTGATGTTTGTTTAGAAGCATGCGGATGACTCTTCCCTTCTTTACTTTATTTATGACAGTTATAAGACTCGTAGATTTATTTTTATTTTCTTCTCAGGCCTCTGTTCGTGAGTTTGCTGAGGCTATCCGTGCTTATCGAGTAATATTTCCTGACTCAGAAAAGCAGCTGATTAAGCTTGCACGAGATCTGATTACCACGTAATGTGCTTCATTAACCTTTAATTGATAAAATCACAATGTTTGTAACTGATTGCTGCTTTTTCCAGACATTTTGAAACCACTGAGCAATATGTAAAGGGACGGATTTGTGCTGCTGATTTACTGGGTGTTCTCCGTAAGTAGTATGATTCAGCTTACTCCATCTCTTCATACACTGTACAAGTCTCTTCTTTTGGAGGCTTTTCGTCCATCAGTTGATGACTTTGGCGTCCTTGTATTATTAGTTGAGTTTCAATGAAACTTTTTCTTCTCGGGGTGATTGTTTTCTCTAATTTTGAGGAGCCTGCTTGTGGCATTGTATTTTAGCTTTCTAATGATGCAATTGACAGGAGATAAAATAATATTTTGTTGGTTCCCTCTTATTTCTGCTCTTCATTAGCTGCTCGAAATTTCCTCCTGAATATGAAAATCAAGAAGGATAGCAGCAAGCTTATGACCACCAGAAATTATCTTTTTTGCGACAGCTGCAGAATATTTTTCCTGTTGAATGAAGCCAATACCAAAGCTTGAATTAAAAAGGCTTTGGATATGATTATATAATTTACCACTGGAACACCTTTGCGTTAGAATTTCCTGTCTTCTCTCATTCTTTATGAGAGATCATATTTATGCTTTTCTTTTGCAAACTCCAGATTTAATGCTTTGGCATGGGCACTTTAGGTCTCTCAAATTGTGAGAGTCTTCTGTGGTATTTATTTTTAGGCATTGATGTAGACATTACACCTTGTTCTTCAAGTGGAAAGGATGTTCAAGCCCTCTTTGAGTAACAGTTGATCTCCTAGTATTGCACTTTACCATAGCTAGTTCTATCTTAATTAGTCTCATGGATGCGAAGTTGCACGATGAAAATTGGACAAAACACCTAGATCTCCATTTTTTTCATAAAGATCTGTAATTGTTTTCTTTTGGAAAAACCCACTTAAATATTTTCTGAATTCACTTTTCTTTTGTACTATAGCCTTTCTTAGGGGGCAAGAGGGAAGAATAGCTACTTGTTTAAATTCTGTTATTTCCATTTTCCTGCTGACTTTGCAATTTGAATTCAATTTGTTGCAATCCTTAATGAAATGTCAATTGGATGCAGGAATGATATGGACAGATGTGCTCCTGATGGATGAAGTGCTAACTGAGGCTGTATTTCCTGACTTTTCTCTGGAGGTCTTCCTTTAAATGTCACTTCAACTTGTAGATCATTTCCCTGCATCCCACATAATCCTCTTTGAGTAAAACTTAGGCTGCTTTCCTTTTGAAGAATGGAACTAGCCCACTTACTTACCCCATGTTATTGTACGCTGCCCAGATTACTCTCCAACAGTATGTTACCAGCACGTTTTTGCATCTTCGGCAGGATATCTCAGGTGTTTTTTACTAGTATAGTTTCAAAATATTTTTCAGTCCAAATCATCCCTACATACCCGATAATAAAACAGAAGAAAGAAGTTTAAATTTTGTCGTTTATGTACTTCTACATCTGGTAGTGGTTTATGGGAAGCGATTGGTACTCTGTTTCTTGGGCTATTAGACGTGTGTATAGTTGAAATAATTTATATTCATCTAATTAAGAATTATGGAAGCCTAAATTAATTTTTGTTTGAACTTGCAGATGCCCTCCTGAAAGTCCATGTTAGACATAAGGATGGGGAGGAGGAAAACTCCTTACAGGTTGGCTTGGAGGCCAGCAAAAAGGCAGTGCTTCAAGGTAGCATGGATATCTTACTGGTAACTCACGAAACTCTGTTCTTATATTCATCTGGAAATCATCAGCCATTCTTACGTGCTTCTTGATATCAAACATTTTCCTGCCTTATTATTGCCTGCAATGCCTGACTCGTTGTAGCTTATTGGCATGCATATTCACCTACCTTTTCTATTCTTTACTCTGTTTGCTCATTCCAGGACTTCCGTCAACTTCTTGACGACAATTTAGAGCTATTGGTTAAGCTGAGAGATCTGGTTATTGATTCAGTTCAAGAAGGATTTCAAGACTTCTTCAGGTCACTTGATGATCACTTCCTCATGCTTTCTGGAAGAAATAATTCTTCCACTCAGGATCAAGGTGCAGCAGGGGGAACAGTGGCCGAAAAAGTTCTCGCTGGTCTGGTCCTTGTGTTGGCTCAACTTTCAGTTTTCATTGAACAAACTGCCATCCCAAGAATTACGGAGGCAAGAAATCAGCTAATAATCTTACATCAACTCTTTCTTCAAAATATATTACATTTATGGTTATCTTTTTGCTATGGGGACCTTATTTTAGAAGTTCCATGCATTTGATATTCAGGAAATAGCTACTTCCTTCTCTGGTGGAGGTGTTCGTGGGTATGAAAATGGCCCTGCCTTTGTTCCTGGAGAGATTTGTCGAAGTTTTCGCTCAGCTGGTGAAAAGTTTCTGCATCATGTATTAGTTGAAAGAACCCTCTAACAATATTTCCAGTTAATATCTTTTGTGCATTATATATTTGAAACTTTGCTAAGTTCTTGGTTGTTTATTTTTCAGTATGTAAATATGAGAACCCAGAGGATATCTGTTCTCCTGAGAAAGAGGTTCACAACGCCAAATTGGGTCAAGGTCGGCATGGCGTATGGCTGAACTCTATGAGTTTGGAAGATAGTTCCTTTTATATTTATGTTTTTGCTATTCAATTTTTTCTGACATTTTGAATTTTCTGCAGCACAAGGAGCCACGGGAAGTTCATATGTTTGTTGATTTGTTTCTTCAAGAGGTTTACTGCTTCTCTGGTTTTTTCTTTACACGAACTTATTGTTTTCTTCTTTTAGAATTTATCATTTGAGTTCGTAAAAAAAAGCTCATACGAGAGATTTACTTCTATCTTGAATTTTGTGTGGTTATCTGCATAATCATGATACTTGATGAAAAATGAAAATAATGGGATGGATGGTCTGTTAATAGAATGAAAAGATGAAAACTTTGGGATGTATAACCTATTTATTGAATGAAATCATAGTAATGAGATGCATAACCTAGTTTAGTTTTCCCTGATGCACTAGTTGGAAGCAGTAGGAACTGAAGTGAAGCAGATCCTACCCCAAGGACTCATCCGTAAGCATCGCCGATCTGACAGCAATGGAAGCACTGCCTCATCACGTAGTAATCCATTACGTGAAGATAAAATGAGTCGCTCAAATACACAAAAGGCCCGGAGCCAGCTTTTAGAAACGCATCTTGCAAAATTGTTTAAACAGAAAGTTGAAATTTTCACCAAGGTTGAATATACACAGGTAAGAGAAACTTTAAGTACTTCATTACATCCATTGTATAACAGGTAAGAAATTTAGTACCTTGTTGATGTATCAAAGCAACTAACATGGAGTTTACTTGTAAATTGCAGGAATCAGTTGTAACAACTGTAGTAAAACTTTGTCTTAAAAGTTTGCAAGAATTTGTCAGACTTCAGACTTTTAATCGAAGTGGATTTCAGCAAATTCAGCTGGATATTCAGTTCCTAAGAAATCCTGTAAAGCAAGCTGTTCAGGATGAAGCTGCCATTGACTTTTTGCTTGACGAGGTACTTTGCCTCTGGATTTTAAACTGTTTTTGTTCCTGACTCCTTTTTTTTGCATGTTTCCACTTTTCCCTTTTTACTAAAGGCATTACTTTGCATCTCCTTTAGCACTTCCTTTATCGCTGGGCTGTCAAAGTTCAATAATGTCATATAGAAATGGATAAGCCAGGATTCTATTAGGCCTCTAGATTGGATCTTTGTTATATACTTATTGTGGAACAGAGTAAGGGCTCATTGGAGGGGATCATTTAAGTAGAGATAATCATTCTATGTGATACATGATATTTTAGTAGTAAGGCCAGAACTGTCCCATTGGCTGTTCTGCCTGATCTTTCCGGACCTGCTTTATGTTTCCAAAATGCTAAAATACTAATGAAAGTACTAATAAGATGTTAAAATACTCTTATGGTCTCAGCTGCTATTGTTTCGTTTTTTTGTTGAAGTTCATAGCAGATTCATTTGTTGTTTCATAGGTGATTGTTGCTGCTTCAGAGCGTTGTCTTGATCCAGTCCCTCTGGAGCCTCCCATTTTGGACAAACTTATACAAGCAAAATTGGCAAAATCAAGGGAAGATAAGTCATTTTCCTCATGATCGATGAAATACTTACCTGAGTTATCTAGAGCGAACTGATACTCTTTGCTTGGATAATGACTTATTCAGCAAGAACTTGACATGATTCTCTGGTGACCCGTGAAGATTTGGTTGCTTCTTGGAAGTTTCCATTCGTGTCCTTGGGCATTTTGATCCGTATTTCTGGTGATCATGAAAACTTCGACGTAGTCTTCATTTCCAAATCACTGTGAAAGTAGGCACAGCTTTAAGCTTGCAGCTGGAATCCGTGTGGCCTGCAGTCTGCCGGAATTCGCCCAAAATCTATGGACCCTACCAAAAGGCATGAACACCGTAATTGTTATAATTTAAGAACCATATATTGGTTTATCTTTTTCTAAATTTTATTTCGTATATGAGACTAGATTAATTTGCTCAGTATAACCGTTAGGTTTTCATGCATGTCTAGAACATCCTTTAAAAAAAAAAGGTTAAATACTTGATGATACTGGTCAGAAGTAAATGTGAAAAGTTTCGTTCTTTAAATTGTTGGAAGAAAAATTAATCTCAGTAAGTGAAGATCTAAAAATATTTTTAATGTTAAAGTAAAAAATGCTAATGGTTGTGATATATGTTCATTGTATTAACCAATATTCAATGCTCATGTTGGTACAAATTTATTTGATAATCAAATGCTGTCATGTTTTAATTGTTTAGGTAACTTTTCTTTAGTTTTACTTATCTATATCATAATTTTCATCAAACTGTACTTTTGCTCTTTAATTTTATTTAAGTGGCTTTTCTTCAAATTTTAAAATTAAGCTAGTATTTAAAATTTTTATTTAATTTTAACTGTATTTAAATAATTCTAAAATTAAATAATTTAAACCTTCATATATAAATTACATGCCTGTGTATGATTAAATAAATTTAAAATATCAACAAATTAAGAACAGGAGATTGAAGTTTGTCGGTACTGATGCCGGAAAATAATTTTTCTTCAAGCGATATTAACAACTAAAATCGTTACTTTTAATTTAAATAATTAAATATATCTAGAAAGTAGATAAATTATTCTATTAATACTAGACCTTTTTTTTCCTTCTCATATTTAATTATTTAAATTAAAAATAAGAATCTTCGGCAAACTATTTAATCCACATTGATCAAATAGATAAATAAATTTCACCAAGTAGTTAGAATTCTATGTTGTGGCCTTATAATAATCCCAACTGATCATCAAGTCAGAACATACCATCTTATAATAAACTCGGCCACAACAAATCATAACTGTACTATCATATACCTTCCTAAATTTCCCGCCAAACTTTCTTCTCTCGCATTTTGCCGCCAATTTCAGCCTTCTCTTTCATTCCCATTATCTCTCTCTCTCGCTCTCTCTCACCCGACTCGCTCGTTCTGTGTGACTGTGAGAGGTGAACAATGAAGGACCTTGACTTCAATGCAGAAAAAGGTAACATGTCGCTCCTCCTTTCTCTTTGGTGTGCGATTGTATCAGTTCCTCGCCTTTTCATTTTCTTTACGTCCTTTGTCTTTTTCCAGAACTCGCGAAGGAGTTCCTTTCGAACTTCGCGGATGCGAATGGCAGAGCTAAGTACATGGAAATCCTAGTGAGTTCCATTTTATCTATCATATTCTTTCCTTGTCGTCATTTTTCTCTGAAACCCTAGATCTCGGGTTGGCCACCGAGAATAATGTTCTAGGTTAGAAACGGACTTTTTTTTTTTATTGAAACATTTTTGTTAATTACAATTATGCATATATACTATCAATTAAAGTAATCGGGCAAAGAGTCTCCTAGTTTCCATTCTCAATATTATAATTATTGTGATTGTTAGGAAAATCCATAATCTGTCGTCTTTTCTTGAAAGATTAATCCTAATTTTGTTACTTATCAGCAAGAAGTTGCAAACCGCAAAATTCGAGCTATCCATATTGATCTTGAGGACTTATTTAACGTAAGTTTCTTGGTCTGGCCATTCTGCTCTTGGTATTATCTTAGTAACTTTTGAATTATTCCCTTATGGAGAGATTTAGGATTTTACTCTGCAAATGTTTGACAGTACAAGGACCTGGATGAAGAATTTTTCAGTCGGGTTACTGAAAATACCCGCAGATACATTGCAATATTTTCTGCTGCAGTTGATGAGCTCATGCCAGAGCCAATGGAGGCACTTCATGATGATGATCATGACATATTGATGACACAGAGAAATGAGGATAGGCCAGATAGTGCTGACGCTTCTGATTCCCTTGAGAAGATGCCTCCAGAAATTAAACGTTACTTGTAAGCTCGAATGTGGAGCCCTTTTTGCTAAAATCCTGACTGAAGCATATCCAACCCCTGATGATGATCTCTTTGGGTTATGTATCTAATTGATCTAACAGATTGATTGACTGCTAAGTTTCTTTTAAATGGCCTATTTGAGTTCTATAGTGTTACTATATGTAGCTTGATTTCATCATAATGTGGCAACTGAAAGAATTGCCTATATGACATGATGGTGGAGAGGGAGTTGAGAGTAGAGCTTATTGCTAAAGAATGACATGGTCCATATTACTCTAGTTGCTGTTTTTGAATATAATGTAGTTTTTGTGTAGTCTATAAAAATGTATTCTATTCTTCTTATTGATGCTAGAAATGCTCCTTGATATTTTAATTAAATGTAATTGCCTAATAAATTCTTTCCCATCTTGATCCAGTGAGGTTTATATCAGAGCACCTTCGAAGGGGCGAGCATTTACTATTAGGGAGGTCAAGGCTTCTAATATTGGTCAGCTTGTAAGAATATCTGGTATTGTAACTCGTTGTTCAGATGTTAAGCCACTGATGCAGGTTGCTGTATATACATGTGAAGAATGTTGTTTTGAAATTTACCAGGTAATTAGTGTTATCACATCGGAACTTTCTCAACTGGTGCATTCTTGGGTGGAAAATATTAGTTTCATGTGAAATTTCTTATAAAGTTATATCCTTTCTTTTGCCTGGGGGGTGGGGGGAAATAATTATTCTATCTGGAGTCTATTTTTTTCTCCTGGGGCATTAAATGGATTGATTATTTTCTGACAAGTTCATTTTTCATGTTTCTTTTCGTCTTATGCTCCAAACAGGAAGTAACTGCTCGAGTCTTCATGCCCTTGTTTGAGTGTCCATCCAGGCGCTGCAAAACAAACCGAGTAAAGGGAAACCTGATTCTTCAACTCAGAGCATCAAAGTTCCTGAAGTTTCAGGAGGTTTTCCCTTTAATCTGATTATATTTGTATTTTATATTTCAAATATAAATCAGTTATACAGAAGTTTTGGTGGTAAAAATGATTTTTCCAGGCCAAGATTCAAGAGTTGGCTGAACATGTTCCAAAAGGCCACATTCCACGGTCAATGACAGTTCATTTTAGAGGAGAACTTACAAGAAAGGTCAGCTTGTTACTCACTCCATGGAAATAGGGAACACTGTTTCTTTTAACTCCCATTGCCTGACATCAGTACAACATAAGCTATTATCTATACGCTAGCATGAAGGAAAGCCATCAAAATAATGCCGTTACCTAACAGCTAGCATAATAGTGAATGGACTACTCAATTTGGTTGTCCCTATGAGCCATTGTTACTATATTCCAAGACGGAGGATAAAAGACGAGTCAGTGAATAATTTGATCGTGATGATTATTAATGCTAAATAATTCATCAACCTGAATAATTGCAGTTTTCAAAGTTTCATCCCTGCTTTTTATACAAAGATTTAAAATTGCTCCTTTTGAAATGTTATGGCTGCATATCTGTTCTTACTGTGGTAATTGCTATTTTATCCTACTGGTATGTCCAGTTTTTAGCAAACAAATTTTGAATTTTTTCAGGTAGCTCCAGGCGATGTTGTTGAATTATCAGGGATCTTTCTTCCAATTCCTTATACTGGTTTTAGGGCATTGCGTGCTGGTTTAGTTGCAGATACATATTTGGAGGCCATGTCTATCACACATTTCAAGAAAAAATATGAGGAGTAAGTCAATCTCTAATTCTTGATTACCATAAGGCAGCATTCGAGCATTCGGATGTCCAATCTTCTAATGCTTTCTAATTCATGTAGTATGCAGAAACTCGTGTCTAAAACAGAAGCTTAATTTACTGGAATAATAAAAATTGCAATTAAGGGATATGATGCAGAAATGTATGTACTATTGTATCTGATACTAAGACCATTCAGGATTTGTCATACATGGCATGGCTTATGAATGTTTTTTTCCTTATTTTAGGCACTTTCTGATGGCAAATTCAGAAATTACTGATTGATTTATTTGGATGATGATTTATCTTACAATTCCTCATTTATTTAACATTCCCCAAGTTGAAGCAAGAAAGAGTTGTTGACACGCTTAGTTGTGTTCTTGCAGGTATGAACTTAGAGGAGACGAGGAAGAACAAATTGCACGATTAGCTGAGGATGGTGACATTTATGATAAGTTAGCACGATCATTAGCACCCGAAATTTATGGTCATGAAGATATTAAAAAAGCTTTACTTCTACTTCTTGTGGGCGCTCCTCACCGGAAGTTGAAGGATGGGATGAAGGTATTTTGCCATCGTACTAGATGATCCTACTCATCTAACGTGATTAAGGTTTCTTTTTAACGTGATAAAGTACAAGATCAAGCTGAAAGACCACAGAGAGTTGCACAATTTCTCATTATTATTTCTTAGAAGGTTTTAGTTTCAAAGGCTTCAGTATATTCTTTCTGTTAGGTCCCTTCTAGGTTACTTCCTCAGTTAAGGTGGTCAGTTTTTTACATTCAATCTGTAGGAGGACTCTGAACATGCATTGCTTTCTGTTCTAGTCATTTTATGATTTATCAGTTTTTTATTTCTGGCACATCAAATTCTTCAAATGTTGCTTAATGTAAATGCAGATCAGAGGGGATTTACATATATGTCTGATGGGAGATCCTGGAGTTGCTAAGAGTCAGCTTCTCAAGCACATAATAAATGTGGCACCGAGGGGGGTATACACCACAGGAAAAGGAAGCAGTGGAGTTGGTCTGACTGCAGCAGTTCAAAAAGACCCAGTAACAAATGAGATGGTCCTGGAAGGGGGAGCTCTGGTGAGATACATATACATTTCTCTGCTGAAAGTCTATTCTATATGTGGTACAGTATTGTAATCATTCTATTATTGGGCGGAATAAGAAAATGTAAATATCATATTGTCCTATTGCACGTAATATGAATTTAATCAATATCCTGGAAGGAGATCTTTTTCTGGTGATATGGTAGTTTTAAGAGCAATTGTTCAATATATTTGTCTTTTCTTGTGAGAGGATAAATATTTTCTTTTATAAGCCACCTATGTGCCGTCACAAATGTAAGCCTTTTGTTTAGTTTCCCTTTCGATGATCTCTGCAGTTTAATGATGTTGATGTTGATTATGTTTCAGGTCCTGGCAGACATGGGTATTTGTGCAATTGATGAGTTTGACAAGATGGATGAGTCAGATCGTACCGCAATACATGAAGTTATGGAGCAGCAGACTGTTAGCATTGCCAAGGCTGGGATAACCACATCTCTGAATGCAAGAACTGCTGTTCTTGCTGCAGCTAATCCAGCCTGGTATTCATATTGTTTCTTGATGTTGTTGATTGTTTATTTTGACCTACAACAGTCATTCTCATGAAAAGTACAGAACTTTGCATGAAAATGCATATTTGCATGCAAGATCTTAAGTGTTAATTATTGAGTTGGTTCACTTGTGAAGGGGAAGATATGATCTAAGGAGAACTCCAGCTGAAAATATAAATCTTCCACCAGCCCTTCTGTCAAGATTTGACCTTCTGTGGCTGATCCTAGATCGAGCTGACATGGATTGCGATCTTGAAATGGCTAGGCATGTCGTTTATGTGCATCAGAATAAAGAATCTCCTGCCCTTGGGTTCACTCCACTTGAGCCTTCTATTCTTCGGTAAGTATTTTGCACTGAAGACTACTGACAAACTGGTGTGTTATTTTTTGGAAATATTTCCACCTGAAGATGTGGGTTCTGGTTTTGGTTGTTAATACTGGTAGAGACACATATATAACATGACGACATGGGTGCTTTTATATGAAAGCCATCATTATTGATTGCTGTAAACATATGGTGTGAATAATGCTTTTGTTTTATGTTCATTTGAAGAAACAAATATTTTACTTTCCCTTTTTTGGTAAATTAATACTTATTCGCACTATCTTTTGTTTATGCATTTTTTTGATGCTCATCTATAGAGGGAATGTTTTTTAAACTGAATTTTCATGTTTTGGTTTGTAGTGCATATATTTCAGCTGCAAGGAGATTGTCCCCTTGTGTTCCAAGGGAGCTGGAAGAATATATTGCTACAGCATATTCTAACATTCGGCGAGAAGAAGCTGAAACGAATGCCCCACATTCCTATACAACCGCGCGAACTCTGCTTAGCATTCTGCGAATATCAGCTGTAAGTCTGATATCATTTATTTACCCTTGAAATAGATGCACCTGCTTTGATTTGTCGAGTTGCTCCATGCTGGGAATGTTTAAGGGTGTCATTCGGTGATGTGGAAAGATGAGTCCTGAATTATGTGCTAGTTGTACTGATTCTGGGCTTACACTCAGTTTTCATGTTAAAAATTATAGGTAGAGAATGGAATCCAATTGTTCATTTGTGCGGTTGATTGTGTGCTGCTTGGCATGTTGCTGTTGCTTGTGACTTTGAGTTGCAATGTTCCAGATGATATTAACTAAAGTCTATCCACAGGCACTGGCAAGACTACGGTTTTCAGAGACTGTGGCACAGAGTGACGTGGATGAGGCACTTAGGTTAATGCAGATGTCAAAATTCTCTTTGTATACTGATGACCGTCAGAAATCTGGCCTGGATGCTATCTCTGATATCTATTCAATCCTTCGAGATGAAGCTGCAAGGACTGACAAGACAGAAGTGAGCTATGCTAATGCCCTAAACTGGATTTCTAGAAAGGTACAGTTCTTAACTATGGAGTTGAATTTGATGCATGGTTACCTTGATTACAGAATTCCCATTCTGTAGATGTCAGGTGAGAAAAATGGCTGCAAAAATCCTCATGTTTTTGTTTGTTGTTTTTAATCTTTTTAATGGGAAGGGGGTTAACATACTTACTGGAGTTGTTGAAATGCACTCGGTCAAATGTTTAGTTTCATCTTAACTCAGCTCCTATGCCAGGAAAATGAAGTCCATATATATGTTGGAATTAGTATCATACATGAGAATCAGTAAGTGTGAACTATGCCCACATATTTAATTATGATTATTGAGTACCTCATTATGGGTATGGCCCCCAAAAGAAATGATATTGATCTTCAATGTAAGAAACTTGGGTGAAGAACATTATCTATTAGTTAGTGTTTGTTCATTTTACTAGATAGGTACAGTACAAGTTACCAGAATACCAGCTATTTCCATGTTTGTTAATTTAAAATTTTGGTAGTGGACACGAAAGTTTGATGCATCCAGAAGAAACTCATGACAATTAGAAGTTGCGTAATAACTTAATAATAATTAGTCATTTATTTTGTGCACCAACCAGAGCACTGAGTAGTAGTACAATATTTTCTGGACTGTCTTTATGTTATTTTATATTATACAATTATCCAGTGCTTTACTGCAACCGATGAAAATTAAAAAAAAAAAATGCTAATCGATCTGTCCATTTTGCCTAGCACATGCATCTTAATTTAGATTGATCTCTATATTCAAATTGTGCATCCAATATAGGTTCTGGTATATCCCACTATACAAACTGATGTGTTCTTTTCTAATGATGTTGGTTATTATCTTTTAATTCTTGATGGCTTGGCTTCATGACTTTTTTTTGTATATGTGCAATAGTTTGACTTCAAAGAGAAATATTCTAATTCATTGAGTTTCCTTATCAACAGGGATACAGTGAAGCTCAATTGAAGGAATGTCTAGAGGAGTATGCAACGTTAAATGTGTGGCAGATAGATCCACGCTCCTTTGATATTCGTTTTATCTGATGCATGAATTCTGTGATTTATCGAAGTGAAGCAAAATCTTTCTGAAGGACTAGGGTCAGTTCGGGACTGTAACTCCATTGAGAAAAATAAACATGTAAGTAATTTACAGGATAGATCATTACTAACTTCTACAGAAATGCCTTGAGTTATTGTAGTGAGTTTGCTTTGCAACAAAAGTACTTACAACTGCAGCCGTCTTGTATTATATTATGAAATTAAATTTGAATAGAAAGCTGTATTGTGCTGATTGGAATCTTTCCCTTTTAAAGTGCAAAAACATTTGAAGTGGTTGTTTTTCTTGAAATTTTCATGGTTTTCCCCTTCTCTGATATGAACATTGATTTTTTATGAATGCATTTGCTCTGTCCCAATGTAATTCCGGAAATCTGTCATGTTTTGGATGTCTACGTGATTAGGCAGTTAACATTTTGCGATAATTCAACAAATCAAATCTGAGTGATATTCACTCAAAATTGCAGTAGCTCAATTTTTACTTAAAATACTATTATGTGCCGCGCAATAATTTTGTTGCCATTTTATAATAATTCAATCTTGGTGTATATATAACTAAAACATATGTTTTTAAGTTATTTCCCTTCATTGAATTTCCGAATATGATAATATGTATCTTACTCATTTTTTTAATTATTTTTTCTAAGAAAAAAAGACTCTTTATGATAATAATATTTTTTCCATCTACTTAAGTCAACAAAAACATCCATAAATATAAATAATGTATTTCAAAATTTTGTTCGAATCTAAAATTATGAGGTTGCACAAGAATTTTTAGCTTAAAAGAAAAAAACAAGAAGAGTGCAAATGTGAGAATGTTTATGAATAAATTCTTAGGATTTTGTTGCATTTTAATTTAAAATATTTTTTATTATATTCGGAGTTATTACGTTTTATTTTACGTAAAAATAAATCCTTTATAAATTTATTAGTACTGTAATTTTCATACGTGATAAAAGAAAATTCTTAAGATTTTATTGCATTCTATTTAAAAATATTTTTTATTATCTTTTGAATTATTATATTCTATTTTATGTAAAAATAAATTTTTTATAAATTTTGTTGTAAAATTTTTTTAAGAAAAATTACAGCACTAATGAACTACCATTAAACAACAAAATTTGTAATCTTTTGTGTATGTAATTAAAATATATGTTTTTTAGTTATTTTCCTTTATTGAATTTTTAGATCACAATGATAATATCTTACTTATTTATTTAATTTTTTTTTCTTTGGTTTAAAAAGACACTTTTTTTAGGTGTTAATATTCTTCTTATCTACTTGAATTAATAAAAGCATCCATAAATACAAATAATGTATCTCAAATTTTTGTTCAAAATTAAAGTTATAATGTCTATAGAAATTTTCAGCTCGAGAAAAAAACATCGAGTGTAAATGTGAGGATGTTTATAAATAAATTCATAAGGTTTAGTTGCATTTTAGCATGTTACCAGTTATTACATTTTATTTTACATAAAAAGTAATTTTTGTTTTTGTAAGAATTGCTTTATTGAGTGAGAAACATTATGATAAAATAATAGAAATAATTTTTTATTTGATTAATTTTAATAAATTTAATAATAAATACCATATAATTCCTGATAAATTAATTACTAAAATCAAGTAAAAGATTTCATTTATTTTTGAATTTCCGTTGCAAAAAGTGGAACACATTCAACTGATCCGAGACCTGTACCAACTAAGGCGTCGTGAGAAAAGGGAGAAAAATAAATATGAAGCTGGAAGTATAAAAACCAAAGTGGGTGAATACACAACTGGCGGTACTATCTCACGTTAGATGAAAAGACAAATATACCCCTGCTTCGAATTGAGAATTTTCCACTGGATTCCTGTTCAAGGGTAGGGAGCATTTTGTCTTTGCAATCTTTTGAGGTTCCTAATTATCTAATATGGCCAAGCGTATTTACTCTCGACTCCGATTTTTCTCTCTAACAAAATTATACATACAGTGGAGAATTCTTTCAAATATATAATTATTATATTTTATTTAACGAATATGTATATATGAATCCCTCCATTTCTCTCTTCTTCTTCTTCTTCTTCTTGTCTCTGCTCTTAACTGCACATGTATGAAAAATAAAGCCACACCAGAAAATTCTCCAAGCAAACAGAGCCAACATACAAAATGTAACTGCTTTTATTTCTCTATATCCCTGAACCTAGAGCTCTCGAATTCGCTATTGAATTTCATGCTTTGTTTTTGAATTTTTTTTTCCTCTGTTGATTTCCAAACCTCAAGCTCTCGCTATCAACTGCTGCTCGCGCGATTGTTTTCGATACCGAAATCGGCTGCTCTACTAAAGGTAATTTCTCGGCGCTGTGAATGGAAGTCTTTGTTTAGGTTTCGTTTTGTGGTGTTACATGTGTCGTTGATCAGATCTCCAGTCCTTTAATTCTGATGTTTATGCCATTTTTTAATTGGAAGCTGGTGAGAATTTCATGTTTGGAGGTATCTAATGATTGTTTTGGGATTTGGAGGAGGCGACTGCTTCTGTGTCTTCCCAATTTTTGCTGTGGTTTCTTACTCTTTTTAGTTTGGTCATCTGCTTATTCTAGTGGCTGAAACATTCAAGTTTAGAGGAAATTTCAGCTTGAGTAGGTTATGGCTTACTAAAAGCAGTCGATTTATTATCTGTTAGTGTAGTTCATTGAGAGTAATTTTGTGTTGAAGCAGTTATTGCTTACTAAAGGTGATTGATTCGTTATCCTTAAGGTAATTGGCGCTGCTGACTTTGGTTTCCCAAAAGTTTTAAGGAAATTCAGTTAATAAATTCAGGTAGAATTTTAAGAGAAAGTAATAAAGACGTCGTACCGCGATAAATAGAAAACTCAGTTGCTCATTGTTTTATTTCCTTGTTTACTTAAGCTATATCAGGATATTATAATCTCAGTGGACTCGTTTCGGGTCCATCGAATGTAATTTCTCATGGTACTAGGGATTGAAGTGGATTCTCTTTCAATACTCTACAAGGACCTGTGAATTTGAGAAACTGCATTTTAACATGTGGAATATGAGAATTCATCAATTCAGCTGGGAGAGGTGGCGTTGCAGTGAGAGGGCTCTTACTACTTAGGTGTATCTTTGTTTATTTATATTTGGGTCCTTGAACTTGGTCTTTCTAAGTTTACAACTTTTAGCCTGTGGAAAAAATCTAATATGTGATGGGTGGAACTAAGAAATTAGACTAAAGATGGGAAATGACAATATGCCAAGATACATTTCAAGACTTGATTGTTTTTTAACAAATTCAAGCATTAAGTACAAGAGACTGGATTTAATGTGTTTGGCACATCAAGCGTCCCTATATGACCCATGCATTGCATATACTTAAATCTTTTCTTTATGAGAAAGTAATTCAATAAGGCATCAAGATTATTATGTTCAAGCAAAAAAATACTGTTACATTAGGTACAAGCCAAAATTTCAATGAGGTTTCATACAATATCCCTATCGGAGATCTAGCAACTACAAAGCAAAATTTAATGGAAGTGAAACAGCCTCCGAAGCTCTCTTAACTACCATTTTATGTTGTCTTGACGAAAGGAATTAACTAAGCTTTATGCTGCATCGGTTTCTTTGCTTGGGATATGGTTGTGTTTTTGGCATCTCCTTGGGGGACACGGATTTTTCAGAAATATTTCACTATCTAGCTTGCAAAGAGATTGGAAGGAGCTTTTACGTTTAGGCCTTTTGTTTTTCCATTCTTATTTTCTTTTTTATTTTTCACTTATTTTGTAGGACTTAGTGACAGAATGTTGGTAATTGTATTGTCAATCTTTTGATATGAATAGAGAGGATGAATAGAGAGGACATAAGTAGTAAGAATCGACTTTCTAAAACTAAGTCTTGATGTGGTATTGGAGTCAAGGTTCTAAGTTTAGATTGTCTGCCATGTCTTGTTTGATTTGTGTTATGTGTTAAGTGCGTTAATCTCACTTGCATCTGAGAGATGAGTTTGATAGTGATTGAGTTTGTTTTTTGCTGCTTATAACTGTTTTAAGCATCCCACCTAACCTTCAGTTTTGGTAACATAAGCAGCATTACGCTTATTGGTTTCTAGAGTTGACTTTAGTTAAATTTTTTAGGTTCTTATTCTTTTATTTGATCAGTTTATCTAATCACCTTCTTGATATCTTCTTAAAATTAACAATAATATGGTAATATAAGCAATAAAATATTTATAATAAGTACATGTTTTTAATTAATCTTTTTACTAGAAATAATTACTTATCTTTTTTAATCAACACTTTATCTAAATGCATAACTGTTTACTTTTTACGTAAAAAATTTACAAATATCCATTTGGCCAGACTTTTGCTGCGAAATATAAAAGTTTTTGCAGGCGTAAAAAATATAATTGTTCTTAATGGATTTTGTCTTTGCCTTTTAATAATGGTAAAATCTAAAGTTGAAAATATATGTTTCTAAGATATGACTTGTGTTATAGTAGGTAATAATATTATTAATGAGTATATTTGTTAATTACATGTTTCATTAATTTAATAATTTTAAAATAAAATAATAATACTTTGTTTCTAATAATTTTATTTATTATAAGTTACGTATATATTTTTATTTTAAAAATTAATTACTGATGATTAAAAATAAAAAGTTTAGTTGAGTAAAATAGATAAAATAATTAAATAAAATAATATGTAAATTATTGGAAAATTCAAATGATATTTAAATAATTCATATAATTTATCTTTTATTAATATGCAATTTTTAATTATTTCAACACTTGGTACTAATTCTTTGTCATGATTAATTGAACACAATATCATATTTTATATCAACAACAGTTTTCCAACTAGTTTAACAAACAATATACTGCTTTTATTGAAAATAACTTCTACAATACTTTTTAACAACTTATAGCACACAAACTAGTTGGATCAAATAGGCCCTAAGTAACTGAAATCGTTATGCTGATTTAAGCATATCTTTTTGAGCAATGTGGAATTCCTTCTTAGAATATAAACAATAACGTTAGTTCATTCCAACTAAGTTAAATTTTTGGATAATTGGTAACAACTAATTACTTAGACTATTTTTTGTTGGGTCAATAGCACTCATAAGTCTCAATTGAGAAAGAATAGTTGCTTTTCTTTTTGTACATAATGTTATTTGTAATGCTGCTTGTTTTTAAGCCAATGTCTTGTCTGCATATATAATAATTAATCGTATCAGTTACGACAAAAGTATGTGACAGTGTTTCTTCTGTCGTCCAGAATGAAGAATATGAATCGGAAGTGTAGATCTTCTGGTGGTGAATCTTCTCTTTGCAAGGCATCTTTTAAAATCTCACATGTGGTGCGGGAGAACTCTCGGTGTGAGCAACAGGAGATAGTTACTGGTGATGCTGTTGGAAGCAATATGCATATAGACCACAGAGAAATTTACTTTCTTATTATGCATTTCTTGTCCGCTGGTCCTTGCAAGAGAACTTTTGGACACTTGTGTAATGAGCTTCTGGAACATCAGCTTCTACCCAGAAGATATCATGCTTGGTTTTCAAGAAGTGGAACACATAGTGGGAATGATAGTGATGATGGAATCTCTTTTCCATTAAGTTATGATAAGTTGGTGGAGAGGTAGTTATGCTTCTCATTTTATTTTAATTTTAGAACTTCATTGTGAAATTTATTCCAAATATTCAATTTTCATGCATGTATGTTCAGATAAGTAGTTTACCCAAGCTTAAAGATGGTAAGAGTCCGCAAACCTTTTTCAAATCAATGTGTACTGATGTATTCTAACACTCTTCTATCGGCACTACCTAGATGGATGTCGGAAATAACATAAATAGTATTCTTAGGAATTTGGATACAAGATCTAAAGACTGTAAGTAGTTATTCCTAGAGTTTAATATGACTGGGGATAGACCAGCAGGATATATTGGGTCCATAGTTTTGTACACATATTTTGAGGCCAAGCTTGTAGAAAGCTCCTACTTCAAAATTTATGTGTGGATATCAACATGTTCTTTGTTTTGATTTATATTAATATATTTTATCTTCTAATGTTTGTTTGTTTGTTTATCTTTCCCCTGTTCCTGTCTTTCTTTTTGGATTAGCTTATCCTCCTATGATTGTACTTCCTCTTTCCTTATCTAAAATATTTCTTTTCCTTTCAAAAGATATTTAACTCATTTCTTCATGGTGAGTCATGCTATTTTCTTCTGACTTATCAAGTTGCCATTTTGTTACCATTAGGTATCCTCACATCGAGAAGGATCACTTGGTAAAGCTTCTAAAGCAACTGATTCTGTATTCAGCCTCTCCTTTGCGTGGCGAGATTGGGCAAAATACTCCAAATGCAGCTGATGTTCCTACACTGCTGGGATTTGGTTCTTTTTCGCTTCTGAATTGTATGTAACTTAACTTCGTAGTTTACTTGACTTTAATTTGATAGTTTCAATGAAAATTCAATTCAATATTCAACTCAACCCAAATTAGGCTGAACATTCTAGTGGTGTTGGTTGCTTTTTGTGGAGTGCTTTAATCAATCTGTTGAATACTTTGGAAAAGATTGGATGTTGCTTGAAATGTTGGAGCCACATGGGAGAAGCTTAAACCACATGGCCTCCCTCTCAAAATAACAATATCAGGGGATGCTTTAGTCTCCAAACCTGTTTCTGCAGAAAAAGTCCGAATTCTGGTAGAAGAAAGTATGTAGGTAGCAGGACTTCAAGGGAAACTTACCCCTCTTGTTGAATTTCCAGAGAGGTATGTCACTGATCAGAGACTACCTATTAGCTTCCTTGAGCAGTGCCATAAGACAATTTAATCTTCAAACTCTAAATCATTGAGGTTCTCGGTGAAAGCGATATTCCAAGAAGAACTGTCATGACTCCCCTCTTAATCATCCCCAGATCCTACCTTCTTTGTGCGTGCAATGGAGAAAATTCTAGGCAAGATGTCTTTCAAAGGTCTGTCAGTACACTGGGTTGTGCGGAATGAAAGAAATGCAAGAGGTTTTGAGAGTATAGAGACTAATATTACAAAAATTAACAATAGGCGGATCTATTTTTCGTTCTATTTTATTAGGTCATGACATCAAAGATTGAGATGATTTTGGGTGGATCATGGACCACTTAATAGAATTGTAATATATACTTTGTACATGGACGGTATCCCCTTGATACCTTTATGAATAACATTTCTTGTCTGATATTTAAAAAAAAAAAGGCATGTCAGTTCACTAATGATCAAACTAGAACCTGACTCTGCACCACTTGTAAAAAATTCCAGTTCCTATTAATCCACATCCATGAACTATAACCAAGAGCACATATGGTGTTCTTAGCAGTCTGCCCATTGTCCTCTGAGCCGAATTTTACAACAATAAACTTCCTCTAGAGAGCATTCAAGGAGCTGAGGAACCTCTATTTGATGAGGCTTTGATTCATTGGAAAGATTTCTCTCCTGCTAATGCATTTTGGGAAGCTCTGGATCACTTTGCTGTATGCTACCCCACCTTTGCGCTTGAGGACAAGGGCCATATGGAGAGGGGAATAATATATTAGTCAGCAAAAATCAGTACGTACAAATTTGCCAGATTTAGATTTAGGGGTGAGGAATTTTTCAATTTGGTGGCAGTCTACAAGAGATTCACTCATGGGAAGAAGATATAGCTGCGTAGCTAAGTATTTTATTCATGTTTAGATCTTTTGTTTGTTCATGGGTGTCTGTTGTATTGTCACATGAGCTGCTTGTATTCTTTATTACTTGTTCCTATTCACAAGGTACTAATTATTTATGCTCTTGTTGCACGCCATAAAATGATAGTTTGAAGGGAAGAATAGATATCTAGAGAGTTTCAGTGAGAAATTTGAGTACTTTCTTACTCAAGGTTGTTGGTTTTTTCTTAACGAGCCCAATCTTATTCAACCAAAATAGAGTAGAAATGTTGGATTCTGCTTGAGACCTTCTAAATTTGACTTTATCTTATCTGGATTGTTTCAGAAAGGTTTCCTTTCTTTTCTGCACGTGATAAACTTGACTTTACCAAGTATTTCTTGGTGTTAATTATATCTGCTTTCAGGATCCTCTTCCTCTTCCCGTAGATTTTTACCTGATATTTTTTTATTGTTCTCGAAGTTTTCCTTTCTATCTTTGCAGGTGATAGAAATCCAGTATATCAGAAAGTTAAGCCCCTGCCAGCTTTCTTGCGCTGGCCACACATGCAAGCTGATCAAGTTCGTGGGCTAAGTCTGAGAGAAATTGGTGGAGGTTTCAAAAAGCACCATCGTGCCCCATCCATTCGTTCTGCATGTTATGCCATTGCTAAGCCATCAACCATGGTGCAAAAGATGCAAAATATAAAAAAGCTTAGGGGACATCGTGATGCTGTCTATTGCGGTGTGGTCTTCCTGTCCTATGAACTTGCATTTCAAATATTGGTGTCCTCGTTATCCAACTCTAGCAAATGATGTTCATATATCCTCTCAAATTATAATTGTGTACTTACAGCTATGCTGATGTAGTTTCTGCCTAGTTCTTCTGTAAGATTGGTTATAATGCGAAGATCAGTTTTTTAGATCAATTTTCTTGGGGAGAGTGTTTGGCTTAAGATAATAGCAATGGTGCCAAAAGCTTGGCTTGCAGACTTCTTTATGCCTCTTCTTATCTTTGAAAATTTCATAAGTAGAACTTCCTAATATGATTTGTCTGCTATGAACTTTCAGGGTTAAGTAAATAGGTCTAAAGCAACTTATATAGTTTTACTTCATTTTCTTCATATTCTCTTGTTGAAAAAGTTTTGTAGGATGTAAGTTAGATCCAGACCAAACAGATGGCAACTGATATCTCCATTTTGGGTATTTCTGCCTGTGATTTTTCTATAGTATGTTACTCTTGGATGAGTATTACATTGGGGGTGAGAGGGTAAGAGAAAAATCATTAGTTTCCAGTGAAAGTAATTTGGTTGGTGTACTTGAGGACAAATAACCTGATTTAACATATTAATATAATGCTTTGCATCCTCTAACATTTAGTAAACTTGGGGAATTTATTGTTAAGGGGGCTGATGAGAATTGGTTAGAGAAGTTGTTCTTAATCTTTTGCCCTTTTCAATTCTTTTCTTGTATGCCATATTTTTTTTTTCTGAGAAAGGAAAGGACTGATATGATGGCCATGCTTGTATCTTGTAGCCATATTTGATCGCTCTGGGAGATATGTTATTACCGGTTCTGATGATCGTCTTGTAAAAATTTGGTCAATGGAAACTGCCTTTTGCTTGGCTAGCTGCCGTGGACATGAAGTGAGTTATATTGCCTATGTGGTGTGTCGTAGGGTCAATGTAGCTTTTAAAGCTATGTCTCACTTAGTTGTTTTATGAACTGAAGGGTGACATAACAGATTTGGCTGTAAGTTCAAACAATGCTTTGGTGGCATCTGCTTCAAATGATTTTGTGATCCGCGTTGTAAGGATACTTGTAGTAGCTTTTGAGTTACTCATTATTAGGTTAATACAACTGAGTAATTCTTATTGGTTATTGACAGTGGCGCTTGCCAGATGGAGTGCCAATTTCAGTTTTACATGGGCATACTGGAGCTGTTACTGCCATTGCCTTTAGTCCCAAGCCCAGCTCTGTTTTCCAGCTTTTATCGTGAGCTCCACTTCTAGAGTCATTGCAGTTAGCTGTTTTTTTTTTCCAATTAATTGATCTGTGTGGTTATTTTAAGTGGAATAATTTAATTCAAAGTCAGTTCTCTTTAATGTCACGTGATCCACTTCTGACTCTTAAAAGTATCTTTCTCTGAGATCCTTTCTTTCTTTCTAAAAAAAAGAAGCTTCCTTTTAAACTTTTGGGATTCATATTTCGGGCAAGGATAGTATTACAACATCACCTGGCAGGTTTTTATTATTTTGCATTGATATTTTGACTTTACTAATAATGTAGCTCATCCGATGATGGAACTTGTCGAATCTGGGATGTTAGATCTTCACACACTAGGCCAGTTATTTATGTACCAAGGCCTTCCGATGCCATCAGCGGTTAGATGATTGCTTCTGTATTCTTGCTGATTTTGTTTTTGATTGGTAATAATTCATATAGAAACTGATAAATTGTCTTCAGGCAAAAGCAATGGTCCCTCTACCAATGGAACCCCTGCAAGCAATAATCCCCAGATTCGTCGAATACTGTGTTGTGCATATAATGCCAATGGAACTGTTTTTGTTACTGGTAGCTCGGACACATATGCAAGGGT